TTTAAATTTGATTCAAACTTTCAAATCAAATGAGAGTTGGTTCTAAAATTCAGCATTTTGCCCAACTGTTATTCAGATAACAATCAGATTGCTTCATATGCTTTTATAAAAATTGCAGACGGGACCTTTAAATGTCTACGATGGGCTGAAATAGCAGTGTTTGGTACCACGTGTTGTGAGTAAAACCCACATAACCCACACAAGCCACCGATCACAGCAAAGCAGCAATTTCACATCTTCATTGGGCTGATTGTTCGATGCGCCGGACATCTGTTTTGAGTTAAAGTGCCGAGATCAGTATAAGACTGTAACCCGATGTAAATCTCCCGCACAAACGCACCCGTGTACACACACATTCCCCTCAGACTGATTTAACTGACCTGGAACGGCTGGGCATACGAGCCACCGAATGTCAAAAACGTGAGCTCACACAGTCTGAAAATACAATTAATACCACAGAACTGTGTGCTCAGCAGTCCGAGCCCAAATCTGACGGATTTATCGCTCTCTTCTACGGGTTAACCGCGTAAACTGCTTCACTTTGACACGGAGGATAGAGTGACGGCGTTTTGGGCCTCAGTCGCGGTCGGTGCAGAGTTTGATTACAACCATATAAGTTGGGTTCCAGCAATAATGTTTGTTTGCCTTGAGTGGGATGAAGTCCTGAGAGGACGCAGATCATCACACACACTAACTGACACACTAGCAGGTTTTGTTTCGATGCTTACTTTGTCCCAAATGTAAAGAAACCATGGCTTACCCAGACAGTTGTGTCCATCGTGGGCCAAACGAAAGCCGTCGTAGCACGTGCATCTGTAGTTTCCCGGGATGTTGATGCACTCGTGAACACATCCTCCATTATATTCACTGGCACACTCATCGATATCTGCAAGAACGACCACATTAAACGTTAAACAGCTTATATCACAGAACATCATGGCTCTTTTGACGCCAAAATGTTTGGGGTCTTCTTCATACTTTTATTCAGCAAGGATGCATTAAATTGATCAAAAGTGACAATAAAGACATTTATAATATTACAAAAGATTTCTATTTCAAATAAATGCTGTTATTTTTT